TATATATATACACACACACACATATATTTGTTCGCAGAGGGACTAATATAAATCCAAGTGAATCAGTGGAGATGTATATATTGATTTTGCATTTTTTGGGTCAGGCACTATTTGCTAGTTCATTAGTAAGGTAGAGCTATCATAAGAAATGACAGGTATTTATTTGAGTTTGGAAAACAATGTGAAATTAGATGTGAATATGTATTTACTATCAGAAGTGAAATTTGATTCATACATATCGATAGCTCTTTTCAGTTAATACTCAACAGTTGATGAAAAATGTTAAAGTTGAGTTTGTCAGCCCAAGAAAGCTGGATGCCCAATAAATCTCGCCTTGTGGCTTTTCTTTAGGCTGTCTCATTGTCTGAGTGCCCAATTCGAGACATCTCAGACCTAATAGTCAGAAGATGGTGTCTCAGCATTTTTAAAAAAATGTTTGCTGCTGTATGCACAGAGAATTGTTAATGCTAAACCTTTGGACAATTTTCAGATTTTCTACCTCTTCTGTTATAGCTCTGCAATATGTAAAGATCTTTTTCTCCCCACACTTGCAAGTAGATAAGAAACAGTCATGTTTTGCTTGCATAACATGGTGTCTGTAAGTTCTAAGTGTGTGTTTCTCCTGTAACAGAATGAAGTTCCTGAAGCCAAGAAAGAGGAATCTTTGCTAGATCTGGATTTTGATCCTTTCAAGCCAGAAGTGATATCAGCAGTACCAACACATTCCCCCATGTCTCAGGTATTTCTTTGCTTGAGATCTGCTAAGCATGACTACTCTGTGCTGCATCAAGAATTGTCTAATCAACCAATAAATGATGGCCTTGCAGTTTCTGGAAAACTGCCCTATTTACCCAAATCCAGGATAACCTCGAATTTATGACGACCTTCCTCAACCCCGTGAAATTCTATACACGGAAAATTTATGAAGGATCATCTTCAATTTGCAACCCCACCCTTCACTGCTGCAGTGGCAGGGGGGCAAGCAGTGTGTGGGGGGGTGGCACACAGTAGGGGAGATGTTAGGCAGGTAATATGGTAGGCCTTTCTGCATAGGTCCCATTAGGCGCATATATTCCCAGTTCAGTAATGCCTGTGATCCCTGATGATGGGGAGGAGAGAAAAAGTGTTCTACTAATATGAGACAGTAGCCAAGGAGACCAGCCATCTGTTGCTGAAGGATTGAACCCTGCTGTATTATACCATTTTTTAAGCTCTGAGCAACATTTTGATACAACTGTCATTCCTTTCTAATAAAGTATTCAGTTCTTAGAAAAGAACATGGGGGACACTTTGTGGTGTTCTCCCCACCCTGGAATCCATCTGCCATCTTTTTGCTTTGATGGAGTTTCTTTTCTAGGTACAGTATATGACCTGATTGAATTACCTAAGATAAATCTATTCTAGTTCTGGCCACTGCAAGAATAAAAGAAATGGTATATGATTTACCGTAGGATCTTATAGGAAATAGGTTTTTCTGTAATATGCAACAATCTTCACCAAGTTGACTGAAGGCTAACTTTGTCGGTATATGGCAAAAAATATGAATAGTAAGAAAATCTAGTTTTCTCTAGGCTTGCTTCATTTTGAAGCGCAGAATCCTTAGAAACACAATTCCAAAGACTGTTTCCCCAGCCAACACTGACTGGACCTGTCTACAGTATAGATGGCAAGGAAGCCATGTTGACACACTGCTAGCAAGGACCCTGTCAGTATGAATGTGGCTGACAATACTGCATTGTGGGTGCATCTACACGTGCATATTACGGCAAAGCAATAAACTCTAGTGCATATTGTGCTGGAGTTTATTGCTCCTGGGGGCCGTGTTTACATGTGCACCCGAGACCATAGCACGTTGAGCTAGATCTGAGCAGCCCGGGCTGTCACATGGCCCTGGGGGTCAGCCTGCCACCCCAGGGCTGCCTTGACCCAGCTCAGCATGCAGTGGAAGGGCTAGCTGGGGCATGAGGGTGCTCCAGTGTGGAGCTAGCCAGCAGGCAGCCCCCTGTACAGAAGCACCCTTGGGCCCCAGCCAGCTGTGTCAGCATCTATGTGTGCATTGCTGCAGAGTAGAAAAATTCAGCTTCAGAATAGTACTTGTATTTACAGGTAATAATAACCCACGGTGGAGTTAATTCGTTTACTCCAGCCTAATAGCCTTAATTAGTTTACTCCAGCATAGTAACCATGTAGACATTGAGATATGTACTGCAGAGATGATTAGGCAACTGTGTTGACACAACCTGCCAGTAGGAATGTCGGGTCCAAAACAACTATTCAGGAGCCCAGTGGTAGGGGAGGAGGGAGAAGACAGGAAGTCTTGTAGCTAAAACAAGGCAGGTTCGCAGATGACTTGTTATGCATTGTGCATCCCTTTATATGATGAGATCTGTTGTGATATATCTGTGGGCAGAAAAAAAAATCACAGCATCAGCCCTCCAAGCCTCAAGTTAGTTTTCCAATTTTCATTTTACTAGGAGGCTTTAACTGTAGTGGAAGTTTGTCCTGCTTGTCTTTCATCCCTTCCCTGTTAAAACAAAAACAACAACAACAATCCAATAGATTGCTGTGTTTCAGATTTCTGCATTTATTTTAACAGAAAATACCATCTTTGACTCCTCTAATTTAATCCTTTCATGTCCTCTTTTAATAATCCTGATTAAAGTAGTGGTAGAATTAAACTGAAAATGTTAAACTTTGGGAAGAGCAGTTGTGTGCTGACAGCACAATGTATAGATTTTAGTAGGCTTCATTTTTTTCAGAGGAAAGAAATATTTTTCTAGATACCATGGAGTAGAGTAAGCTGTTTATTAACAAAAATGTATATTGGCTATATATTTCCATATGGGTATAGAAGAAGCATTCGCTAAACTCTTCTCCCCTCCCCTATCCCACCCCAAATAGTCATGATGGTGAGGTATTATCTTTTGTGAGGATAAATCAGAGGTCTGTGCCTATCACTGGCTTTAGAAGGAAAGGAGGATAGCCCTGCAGATTACAGTCCATTAGTTGGACTGGATGTGACCGAGTCATTTACTGTGGAGATTTATTCAATATGAAGTATGTGATCTCAGTATTTGAAGAGCTTTGTGCTATTTTCAGTGGAGTTAAGGATAGTTTGTTGTTAGTACATTTTCTATATGTATGTTTAATTTTACTCCAGACTCCTGGTTTCAAGACACAAGACCATTTTTCCCCATGGTAAACTTTACTGAAATAGTGTACTGAAGACAGATCTATTCAACTCTATAGGGCTGCTTCTAAATATCTGATACAACTTCCTGACTTGGGCTAAGTACAGACAGTCAAACAGTCCAAGGTAGAATCAATCCAATCTTAGCAGGTTTTTCTAAGCTGCATAGATTGAACTGATAATTAAGTGAACTCACATTCAGTTTTCAACTGGGAAAAGCAAGCAGATGACTGCACTGATGCAGGCCAGAAGTCAGAGGGTGCTGCCCCTACTCCAGGGCTCCACGACTCACCCCACACCCTGTCATCCCCAACTGCCTCCTGCATGGTACTTATATCCCATATCCCATGCCTCAGACTGCCCAGAGCTGCATGGTGGTTGCCTGCCTTTGAGATGAGCAGCCATTGCAGGTAGGCAATGGCAAACAGGATGCAGCAGCAGCACATAGGTTGGGGGTGTGGTGGGGCAGTGTTACAGAAGTGCCTGTTGTGCCACAAAGACCTGGTGAAAAGTTTCTTGCTGGCATCTACACCCCCAGTCAGATGCAACATAGTGCTGCTCTGCTCCATCTATTGCCTCCATCTTCATTCTGAACATGGATCTTCAATCAAGCTCACTGGTCCTTAGTTTTTACAGGCAGATTTACAGACAATTGGTTTTAGCCTCCCCCCGCCTTTATTTTTTTATAGACTGACCATAACATTGCAGACAGTTCGTAACCCTGCCTTTGTCCTTCCTCCTTTCCTTCCTCAATTTCCCTTGTAATTATAAACCCTACTAGTGTCCAATCTCTATCACATCCAGCTGCCAAGGCATACCACAGAAACATTCTGACTTTCTCTGGCTGAGCCCTGTTCCTCTCCTGTTTCCCATAATACA